CTCCATAACTCTGAATTTATTTGTACTCCCAACCTAATACTAAAATATGATTTTTTAAAAATGGTAACTGTTAACGATTACCAAGCGTAAAGTATTACCATAAATGTTAATTGTGGTGAAATCCTTTTTGGATTAAGGTTTTCTTATTCCTAAAAAATAAATTAAAATGAAAAATAACTACCTTTAAAAGGTCGTTACAAGGATGTCCAAACAGAAACCTAAAAAACAAAGAAATGCTAAGTAGAGAACAAAAAAACAAAAACGCAATTTACAGCAATACTGTTCAAAAAGAAGTCTAGGCCGAAATCTAAAATAAGAAGCGTTAGATTAGCAACATTTTTAAAAGAATGAATTTAAAAAAAAAACTCACACCTTCCGAATTACTCAGATTTGCAAATAATAAACGAACTTTGCATTTTTTCAGTTATAATTATACTATTTTCGTTATCATTATAGTAAAAATTTTTTTAATTTTATTTTTTAAAATTTGTCTCGAAGGGTCAAATTGCTAGCAAAATTCTCCATAATACAGCAGTATAACCGCGTTTCACAGTTGTTAGATCACGTGGTTAGATTATCATATCTAAAATTAGAATTAGTTAAAATTATGTAATACAATATTGATCATTGTTTATCTCAAATTCGCAAAACCTTTCGGAACCCCTATTTTCCTAGCACAGAACCCATATCTGTATTTATACAAAATTGTCTTCACAGATCTAACACCTATCTGCCTCTTTAAACCTTCTTTGGTAGTCATCTGTAATATTATGCTTATGTTTAACAGTTAAGATCTTATTTATTTCTACCAATTCTTAATCGATCCTTCAGATGAATTCTTCTGTGGTATTTTCTCCGCAATATAAGAAGGGACCTCATGTTTCTCTAGTATCAATTCAGTGGACTTTGTAGCTAAAACTATTAGCTTCTTCCTCTGCTATTTTTTGCATATTTTCACTATAATGTGTGTCACACTTCTTCTTTAATAACTCAAAATCTGTAAGGATATTATATGAGACATTGATCTAACGCCTATAATTCCTAAACTCTTCAAAGTCATTAACATCTTTTACAGATATAGTGACTCTTTGTGAGGCTTCATCCAATTCAAAACACCATTGCTGGTGATGATCTAATGATTTTATAGATGGAAAATTTTGAAAGCACTAGTTGCATAAATATTTCTTTTCTTTATGAAATATATTCTTATTTACTAATCTATTCAGATTCTTAATTCAGAAGAATTTATTCTTTTGCCTATACTTACCTTTTTCTGATTTGGTAATAACTGTAAGCATCATAAGATAGATAATATGTTGTTTTTTATAGTTTTTACTATAAAGAATAGGTTTGGGAGTACATATTTCTTCTTCTCACTTCCATTTATTTATGGAGATATCTAAATTCATCTCCTTAATCTTTTGAAAGGTTCATAGACAAATTGGAATAGTCATTGGGATTCTATCTAACTTGACAACATCTAAGTAGGATTTAAGTTTCTTAGCTCTAAAAATTTGTTTAAGATGTTCTATATTTCCATCCTGATTAGCAAAGTAGGTACTTAATGCACTTTGAAAATACTTTTCAGATAGTCTATTTGTTTCTGAATCTAGAAGTATATAATTATTTGGAACTTGGTATTGGTAAGCTTCTTTAGGATAGGATTATAAGATTCTCCAAGAGCTCGACGAAGTGTATATGATTTTATAAGTATCATTTCTAATCGGAGAAGAATTTTACCTGATTCTTCTTTCAAATATCTCTTAATTTTTTGATCAATTTTCACATCAAATTGGATTATATACTCATTTATATATTGTTCAGAAAGAATTTCATATTGATGACTTCTATGATATAGATGATGATATTTGACAGTATAGTTTGTCTGATCTGAAAGATCACCTGATTCATTATATTTATAAAATATATATATTACATTTATGATTAAAGCTGATTTTATTTGATCTTTTCTATAAAGCTCTTCTTTGAGAACATCTGTAATTGCATCATGTGCTAATGCTATAAGGTAAGGCATATATGGTATATCTGCATATTTTTTTGAATTGTCTTGCTTTTTATTAAATGCATATGCTGGATTTTTACATAAAAGAATAATCCCCTCCCATATAGTTATACAATTAAAAGAGCTATGTTGTCTTGCAGGATTATGATCTTTTTCCAAAAATACTATATCATTATTAGGTGATTTCTCTTCTTTGTAAATTCCTTCTACTTCCTCATAAATTGACCAAAAATGCTTTCCCTTAGCATATTCCTTCTAAGCATCTTGTCGCTTAACTACATTGCATTTTTTCTAAGTGTCTTGTCACTCAATCCTGCTAGGTCTCTTCTTTTAACTCTCCTTTTGACTAGAAATCTCAGGAGCTTTGGTAACCACTTGAGGTTCAGGAGATTTTGATTGAATAGAATTAAGTATTGATATTTAAATAGGCTTTAGCTTAATAATAGGTTTAGATGAATTTTGACGACATTGATACTTTCTTTCTTAATAACGTCTAAATTTTCATAATTTGAAAGGTTTTTATTACATCTATCACAACTATAATTAACTATTATAATATTACACTTGATATATAATACTTATAAAAAGTTTTTATTTAAATATTAAATATTAATTATATTTTATAGGTTTTATATCTTCTAATACTATAACAGACTGCGTTCTAGGGTTCTAATGAATGGTAAATAATTTATTAAAATTTTGGTATTCTGTTCAGAATTTTGCTATCCATTACCATTTTTTTGACCTAGCGTTTATATAAAAGGAATGGCTCTAGAATTTATTTCTATATATTGCAAAATTATTAGTATATTGAAATATAGTCTATAGTTTTTAAATTTTATTGTATACATACATAATTTTAGTATCCACCTCAGATAAATACTGAAATTATGGTCTTGTTAAATGAATATGAATTTGCTTTAGAATTAATTCTAGGATATCATGAAATATGATATGTATTTTAGGCTTACATGATCAGGTCTAGCTCAAATCATATCACTTCATTCCTTAATTTTCGATTGCCTGTCTAAAGGTAAGCAGATTAGTAAAAATTTTTTGATATATTATTTGGGATTAAAATTATGCTAGAATAGCTATATCAAATAGTGTAATTCTTAGTATCAGACAGGCTAATTTCTAGCTAAATTTAATATCAACATCTAAATTTGAGTCAAATTGAGCTAGAGGCTTGAATTTAATAATTGATTTATATGGCTAGAATTGATTCGCAGATGGGTTAGAGAACCTTTTGAGTACTATTTTGATTTTTGTCCCAAAAATCCCATTTTTGTCATAGTAATACTACATCAAATTCAAAAATGAAAAAAATGCTATATTGATATAGATATCGATCATTTGATTGATAAAATTTTATATGATTTTTTACCTTTTTTTACTTTGTGATATGTAAATTGTATTATATTTCTAAGGAAATTAAATAGTTATTATATCAAAATGATTGTTTACTTCTTGTGAAATTTTTATAAACTTTTAAAAGTGAATAGTCAGCTGTTTAAGAAAATCTTGTTGAAAAATCATTTATTATTTGATATATGGGAGGTTTGCTAGAAAAATAGGACTTTGAGAAATTTTTATTAAAATTTTAATTTTTATTGCATTTTAATCTAACATTATCAAAAATTAAAATGCAATAAAAATTAAAATTTTAATAAAAATTTCTCAGAGCCCTATTTTTCTAGCAAACCTCCTATATTTATTATATGAATAATTGAAACTTTTTAAAACTCATTTTTTGTCTATTTAATACTTTTTATCTATTTTTACTTAAATATAAACAAAAATTACATTATTTTTGAAATAAAAATACACTTTAAGTACAAATATAAAACTTTTTAAAATATTACAAAAAAATAAATTTGCAATTATTTAACTAATTATTAGTTATAAAACACTTAAAAATATATTTAAAAATATTATTTGATTATTTCCTATAATAAATATATAAATTTTATTATTCTTTTATTCTTTATATTAAAAATTAGAAAAATTTTAATATAATTCAAGAATAACCTAAAATTTACTTAAATATTACATATATTATTAGTTAGATGTTATTTAATAAACATTTTTAAATTAAAAAAATATATTTTTTTAATTTTTTTACTAAAAATTAATTTTTTGCATTTTATATAAAATCTATTTAAATAATTACCTTTACAATCTAAGAATTTTTTTTTTCTCATAAATTTATATTTATTTTAACTGTTAAAATCATATCTTTTTTTTAATTTTCAAGATGATCTTAAAAAAAAGAAGCTTTTTAGAACAAAACTGCAAAGATAGATCATATGACATTCTATCAATTGCTTAATTTAGATAAGTAGTATATGGGAGGCGGTCAGTAGAAAAGAGGGAAATCCAAATTTTGGTCAAAATTTATATTATTGGACCACTTGGCTGATCTTGGTCATGTGCACAAAATTAGCTTAATAATTAAAATTAACAAAAATTTTGGATTTCCCCCTTTCTACTGACCGCCTCCCATATGTTAAAAAGTTTAATGGTAAACTATGAGGCAATTACTGTTACACACACAAAGTTAATTATAAAATCATTACTTTAATATCGATTTTGATTAAATGCACAAAAGGGGATAGACGTAACATCTAAGAACTTTTATGCTCCAAATAAAAGTCCTAATAAATGTAACCTGAATTTCTAAATTAATTTATATATATATATATATAAATTCAATTTTATTTATTTATTTAGGAAATCAATGATTTGCGTATAATTCAAAATTTAGCCGGGTATAAGAAGCACTTTTTGTAAAAAAAGTGATGAAAAATTAATTGATAGGAATTTGGCGCCATTACCTAAACTACATAAAGTAATACTAATTAATTAAGTATCATATTAATGTAATATGTACATACCGTATATATATATATATATGTGTCGATTCTGAAAAAAAAAACCCCCTTTCCTCCAAAAAAAATAAAAAAATTTTTTCATCATGACAAAATTATCCACTATAGGGAAACTCACATTAATTTCTGTAATATTATATGCAATAATATTGACGATATTAGAAATACTGGTGATTTATTTTCATCATAATTTCGTGAACCAATTTGTTCTTGACTCTCAAGGAAAAGGTATATCCGAAGCTGATTTAATTTATCACTCGATGTAAGTTACAGGCTATAGCAACGAACTTTTTTTTTCTTTTGATGCGAGAACTAAATTTCTTTTTCTATCTTTTAAATAGATTTATCTTATCACTTGTCTTTCAAGTACTATTATGTATCGATGCTTTACGGAGAAGAAACACAATTCAATTAATAGCTTTGGTTATATTTAACCTTACCTCATTAGCTTATGCCGGAGTACAACTTTATCAACACATTATATTAGAAGACGAAGGAACCGATAATGCACTTTTTGCGCCAATGGATATTAATAAATATCCAACACGTATCGACGCCAAAAAATATTTTCAAACCAGGATGAGACCATTAGAATTCTTAATAATTGTCATAGTTGCACTTTTTTCATTATACTTAGCAGGCTTAGTATTTAAATTGTCGAAACAGTTTGGATGGGAAAATTATCGAACATATTCAGCAGATGTAGAAGTTCGTAACGCATTCGTATCATTGTCGATATTACAAACATTAATTAAGCTGGACGTATTTTTCATTGGTGCATATGCTATACAACTTATACCTTCACGAAGTATTGGATATAGTGAAAAACTTATTGAAACCGTATTGATTTTCGTAATCGGGGCAATAATGTTATTAATGGCATGGTATTCTGTCACAAAAGAAAGCAAATATATTTTACTCTCTGTTGTAAATCTATTAATACTTTCATTAGTTTATATGGGCTATCGTATAATCATTATTAATTTACCAATTAAGAATGAAAGAGATCCTTATTTATTTACTAGACGTCTTTTAACTTTTTTTTTGGCTACCACTATTTGTTTAGTAATTGGTACGGTTTATTATGCTTCGGTGAGTTTTAGAAATATGATGCGAGGTGTTTATGTATTTAGTGTTTATGGCTTACCTGGTCGTGAAGAACAACATGTTTCAGAAATTAATCCAGGCAATGATTTTAATACTGAATATCTTGGTTATGATGCATATAGTGGGTATAGTGGATATAGAGTTGATGATTCTATTGATGAATCAAAAAGAAAATCAAAAAGAGCAAGTAAAATAGCTGAAGTTGCTCAAAATAATCGTATCTCTAGAAGATTAAGCATTGACTGATTTGTTTAGATTTAAGGGATTAATAAGCAATAATAGTAATATGATAGTATAAAAATGTACATTTATTCAATTCATTCATTAATTAAATTGTCTATCAAATTGCTTTTTTTGTACTTTGAGCACGCTCATACATTCAGAGTTATAAATAATTAATAAATTGTAGCGGGTACTTCCGAAGCAATTATGAGTCATAAATATTTATGACGTACGAAATTAAACATTTGTGACGATCATTAAGTTCTTACGGAAATTGGAAATAACAATAAATAATAAAAAATAAAAAATTTTTAATTGTCGAATAATTATCAATCGGACGAGAAAAACTTCATTTACTGCGTCTGATTATGATTTTTTGTTTCTTTTTCTAACAATAAAAAATATTTATAATTAAATAATAATTATATAATTACTAGGTAACGGGAACCGTTGGAGTGTCCGAAGCGTAATAATTAAATAAGTATCACTAATAATCGGCAAATATATATAATAAGGGAAATCAAAACTCACGCGTGCGGACAGTCTAACCGTAAATGTTCTCAGCTACGCTTCGAACAAATAGTTCATAAAAATAACAAATTAAACATATTTTGCTTATCTATATTTTTTAAAAAAATGACGAATGCAAAGCTACGTTGTAGCCTTTATAAACATAATATTTTCAAAAAATCCTTTTAAAACCAATGTATCAAATATACAAAATAAAGATACTTATTGAAAATATTGAAATTACAATACTTATTGCCTGAACAGTAATAGTGTTACTAAAAATATAGCTCAAAAATTAATATTTTGGATATAATAAATAAATAAATAAATTATTGCAAAAAATTTCAAAATTAATGATGAGTATTAATGTGATATAAAATTTTCAAATTCCAAAAAATCATTTACAAATAAAGTTATTAAATTATATTGAAAATACTATTTATCAGAAATTTGTAAGTCAAAGCAATAAAAAAAACTATAGCAAAAAAAAATTTTTTTTAAAAAAGAAAAATTAAAGTAAAGCTGAACAATCAACTTTCACATACAGTATAGATTAATAGCAAAAAAAAGTTATAAGTTAAGAAATAAATTAAATAAAATTATAAATTTTTTAAGTTTAATGTAATTATAGAACCAATCTTTTACTTCCATAAGATTATGATATTATATATTTATTTATATTTATTAATTATCATCAAGTATTACCGTTACATAATTATTAAAATTTAGTAATTATTATAAAATATTTTCTTTACATCTACTATATTAAAATATGAATAAAGAAAATTTGATAGAAAACATTCAACTTTATCTCTCTCAAATATATAATAAAAAATAACAAAAAAATCTAAATTTACTAAAACTAAAAAATTTCTATTATAAAATAACTCTTTTATCACTCTTATTACTAAAATTACTATAAAAATCAACCTATCAAACTTATCAAAAGCTAAGAAAAAGAAAGAAAAAGTATAATTATCACATTAAATATAAATTTATAAATTAAACTTTTGTTATTTTGAGATTTTTAAACAAAAATATAAACTAACTTTTTACACTTTTATTTCTTTTTCATAAAGTTTTTATAATAAAAAATATTTAATAATATAAATAAATAAATAAATAACTAATTAATATAATTAAGATTATATTTACAATTATTTTGAAAATATGTAATATTGTATAATTTATTACTTAATTCATATATAAATTTGTAATATTGTGATATTTATTATTTAATTACATATATAAATTTATAATTTATTTAATTTATAATATTTTATATATATAAATATTTTATTAATAAAATTATATTAAAAATTATATAGTTTACTATATATTTATCTTATTTTAATAATAAATAACTTATATTATAATATTATAATATTATAATCATATTATTTTTAATAAATAAAATTTTTATAAAGTAAATTTGTTATTATTATATCTAAATTATTTATATTAAATAAATATATTATAAATTAATTATAATAATATAAATCATTATAAATTATTAATTATAATTTTGCAAATAATAATTGTAAATATCATTTTTATAGTATATTATCCTATTATCTAATATAAATAACTACACATTTTTATCCTTTAAAATAGAGTATCTAGAAATTTATAATATAAATCTTTTAAAGGCTTAAACTATTTTATTTTTAATCTATTAATCAACTGGTTAAGATATTAGATTCCAATCAAATTATTTTTAAGTAATTATTAAGGATATTCTTATTTTTATTTAATATATCAATATTATGAACAGATAAATATTATATAATACACAGTGAACTCTTGATATAACGAATTCTAGGATCTGGATATCAATTTCATTATAAGTAAAGATGGTTTTCATAATTATTTTTAAAATTTTTAACTAGTTGTAACTTAAGTTGCAACGCTTTAAGTTGCAACTATTTATGAATTTTTATATTAAAATAAATTTATAAGGAGTTGTGACCAAATTGCAACTTCTTAATTATAGTATCCATCTTTAGTTATAAGCTTATAACAAATTTTTTAAAGAATTTAATTGGCTAGTTTATTATAGTAAGGTAATTTTAATATATTTGATTTAAAAATTTGCTATATTAAGGGTTCGATATATCAAGGTTTGACTGTATATGTAATGCAAATGATCAACAAATTAGACAAATATAATATATCTGACATTTTTAATATATATGATATATCTAACATACTGTTAAACTTTTATATAACAATACAGCTGTTTTGAGAAAAAAATATCAGTATATTAAGTTATCTATATATTATGAAAATTTTATGTAATGATATTATTATATTATATTGATCAATATAATATAAAATAATAAGTTATTTAGATTTTAATAATAAATATCTTAAGAAAAATAGCAATTTTAAAGCAATAATATTTAACAAATCAGTATTAGAAATCGGTATTTCTAGCTCAGTGATTAAACTGCAGGTCTCATATTAAGTTAAAGCTTTATTACACAATAATAGGCTATAAGTTCAGATATTGGCCGATACATAAAACTAGATGATTTTTATAAGAATTTCATATGTGACTAAAATGATAGGCATATGTACTAATATGCGTACAAATCTGGTTGATTGATCTATTGATCAACATTGATCATACCTAAATACTGCATAGTGTTAGAACATGTAGATGCAAATGAAGCCTTAGATTGACAGAAACTTAGCCTTCGCTGATTAGTCTATAATAGATACAATCTTACGTCTCACCTAGCAGGGGCCCTTATTTCTGTATATGATTATAAGATTATATATAAATTAAGGAGTGATTGACTAAAACTTAGTAGATTAAATCAGTGTTGATAATAAATTGCATTGCATACCTGTAGCACTATTTAATTGAGCTATCATTAAGATTAGAGATCAGATTCAATTCCTGAGTTATTTGACGTTATGGGTATCAAAGTCATCTGGTTAATGTGATCTATATATATAACTGAAGATCACCGTTTAGAAAAATCTTGTAATACTATTCTATGAACTTTGCGGCTCTTTATATAGTTGTAGTCAAGCCAAACTAAGTAATTGGATCCTGGTTATAGTTCACTAGATTGTTGATAAGAATAGTGATGACGTTCACTATGGCTAAGATGATCTTTCTATTCAAATTTGACAATATCTTTGATGCTAAATACCTAAATTCAGATTACAACAAGTGGTATGAGTTGTCAGATTAGGATGTTATGCTTAGATAAGCATATCAAGGGGGATGATAGATAACTTGAAAATAAGGAAATACCTGAAATTGAGTAGACAGCATATCACTATTAATTATATCTGGTATACTTTGGTATATTAGATTTAAGTGCAAAGGTAATTGGTCAAAGTCGCAGCATCTTAAAATAAAATAAATAAATCAGTTATTAATCTTTAATGAATTTTAACAAAATTACCAATAACTAGACAAACGAAAAATAAAATACTCATAAAATGTCACAAACTATTTTAAATAATAAAAGAAATAACAATAATACAATAATAATAATTTGTCAAGCTCTTTAAGCAACAATAATAAACAAACTAAACAAACTAAATAACCAAAAAAAAACTCTCTTCTGATATGTCTTCTCAAAATTTAGAAACCCCTTGAAATAAACTATCAATAATATTATCATTGATAATGACTCTACTCCCATTACTATTGACTTAACACTTGAAACAACTACTACAGAAATCACGAATATTGACTCAACTTTTACCATCTTTACATACATGAAGTCAAAATAGATCATTTTGAATATCTGAAATGTTTGAAATGGTCAAAATCATTTTTTTTAATGATGTGACACTGCCAATAACTTTATTTAATTTTTATAAGTAGTAAATACAAAAGTAGAAACAAAAAACTAATTTTAAAGTACTA